GGCGCCCGCTGGGGCCACAGGTGGAGCTTCCGGAAAACTGCACGCGAGGTCGCCCGCTGGGGCCGTAGGTGGAGCTGCCCCCTGCCTGCGAAACAGGATCGGCGCGAGGAGTGCGCGGATACGGGCGGAGGGCCGCATTCGGACGCTCCCTTTGAAGCCGCATGTGGAGCTCGCCGCGGGGGCTCAGATCAGAGTGTGCCAGGGTACGCCGACACAACGAAGGGGGGGGGGGGGCAAGACATTCGCGTGCGCCCACTGGGGCCGTAGGTGGAGCTCTTTTGGGGCACAAGGCGTGTGAAGGGTGTGCCATGGAAAGGGGGGCGGGGTGTACATGCGTCCGCTCCCGCTGGGGCCGTGGGTCGTGGTTGGAGCTCCTGTGGGGGTGCGAACCATGTGATGCGTATGCCTGGATGGACGGAAGCGGCATACGTCAGCGCCCACTGGGGTCGGACACTGGACTTCGTATAACAAGGGCACGGCGCCTGTGAGGGTTGTGCCGAAGCGGGCGTGGGCTGGCGTGCGCCACGCGCCCAGACGGAGCTCCCTGCGGGAAGCGCGGGGCGGAAGCGGCGCGGTGCCGAGGCGAGCGCGCGGACGGAGAGCAGCGGCAGAGAGGGGGAGGAAAACCAGGGGGGCGAGCGGGAGGGAGCCTTTTCGCAGCATCTCGTCTGCCCCCCATCTGCGAAGCAATTCCGGAGGAAGCTCTCTTTCTCTCTCGCCCCCTCTCTGTCCCACGCCCACGACGGCCCCTCGACGCCGGCCTGCCCGCACAGCCCCGGACGCCCCCAATTCCAGGCCCCGGAAAGAAACAAACAACCGCCAACGTGAACTCAGAATTGGTTCGGCCCGTTGGATGGCTCGTCGCTTCCAGACAGGCTCACCCCTCATGAAACCCACGCCCACGTTGGCCCCACCCTGCTGCTGGCGCCTTCGGTGGAGCTCCCTATGTGACCACTATCCTCGTGAGGGGTGTACCGAAATGGCCCGAGGCCGCCATGCGAACCCTGCCACTGGGACCCTCGGTGGAGCTCCCTATGGGGCCACGATCCTCGTGGAGGGTGTGCCGAAATGGCCCGAGGCCGCCATGCGAACCCTGCCACTGGAGCCTTCGGTGGAGCTCCCTATGGGGCCACGATCCTCGTGAGGGGTGTGAGGACGGCATGATAATGATGATGGTGCTGCTGCTGATGATGATGATGGTGGTGATGATGATGATGATGGTGGTGGTGGTGGTGGTGATGATGGTGGTGATAATGATGATGATGATGCTGGTGGTGGTGATGCTGCTGCTGCTGATGATGGTGGTGATGATGATGATGATGATGGTGCTGATGCTGATGGATGATGGATGATGGATGATGGATGATGATGATGATGATGATGATGATGATGATGACGATGACGCTGATGATGATGATGATGATAATGATGATGATGATGATGATGCTGCTGATGCTGATGATGATGATGATGATGCTGATGAGGATGATGATGATGAATGATGATGATGATGATGATGATGATGATGATGATGATGATGATGATGATGATGATGATGATGATGATGATGATGATGATGATGAGAGGAGGGGGGAGGGGGCAGCGGGAGGAGGAGGTGAGACGCGGGGCGCTGTCTCTTCAAAACGAAGACCCAACAACACAGGATCGTTGGGAAAAACATCTCCGGGCGAAGGACCCAACCATAAGCAATTGTTCGTAACCCGTTGTGGGTGCCGCTTTCGGTGGAGCTCCCTATGGGGCCACGAAACGCTGCCTTGGGTGGGGGAACCGCATGCGAACTGCGCCACTGGGGCCTTCGGTGGAGCTCCCTATGGGGCCACGAAGCGCTGCCCTGGGCTGGGAACCGCATGCGAACTGCGAACACCCATCGGTGCGGCTCCCCATGGGGCCACGAAACGCTGCCCTGGGTGGGGGAACCGCATGCGAACTGCGCCACGGGGGCCTTCGGTGGAGCTCCCTATGGGGCCACGAAACGCTGCCCTGGGCAGGGGAACCGCATGCGAACTGCACCACTCTGGCCTTCGGTGGAGCTCCCCATGGGGCCACGAAACGCTGCCCTGGGTGGGGAACCGCATGCGAACTGCGCCACTGGGGCCTTCGGTGGAGCTCCCTATGTGGCCACGAAACGCTGCCCTGGGCAGGGGAACCGCATGCGAACTGCGCTACTGGGGCCTTCGGTGGAGCTCCCCATGGGGCCACGAAACGCTGCCCTGGGTGGGGGAACCGCATGCGAACTGCGCCACGGGGGCCTTCGGTGGAGCTCCCTATGGGGCCACGAAACGCTGCCCTGGGTGGGGGAACCGCGTGCGAACTGCGCCACTGGGGCCTTCGGTGGAGCTCCCTATGGGGCCACGAAACGCTGCCCTGGGTGGCTCCTCCTCATCCTCCTCATCGCCACCACCACCGCCACCACCACCACAATCCCACCAACCCTATGGGCGTAGGTGGTCTAAAGTGCTTCCTCTTCCAACCTCCTTCTTCCCCCTCGGGGAAATGTTTATCAGAGTCCCTTATTCCCTACCTAGGCTCTGCCTAGAAGGGTTCTTACTCTCTTGGCTTAAAGGGCCGGGCAGTGGGAACCGGCCCGGGCGGTTCCCCCAGTATCCGCCCCGCGGTGTAACCTCAAGTAGCATGGGTGTAATTCCCTACCTAGGCTCTGCCTAGAGGGTTAGCTGAGCTTAGCTTGGTTTAGCTTAGCTTAGCTTAGCGCAGCGCTGCATTATCATAACATAGCATAACATAGCCAAACATAGCATAGCATAGCATAGCATGCATAGTATAGCATAGCGCAGCTTAGCATAGCTTAGCATAACAGAGCATAGCTTAGCATAGCACAGCGCAGTATGGCATGGTATAGCTTAGCATAGCATAGCGCAGCATAGCATAGCATAGCATAGCATAGCATAGCATAGCATAGCGCAGCATAGCATGGCATGGCATGGCATGGCATAGCAACTAATGCTGCTCTCCTAGGCGCTCCAACTTCTCGGTAGGGTTGCATTGGGGTAATTTTTGATATTCCTCCTGTAGGGGGACGTGCCCGACTTAACGCTGGTCGGTCGCACGGGGCTCCAGGATGCACTCCTTTTCTCGCCGCGGCGCGGCTCCAGCGAAGGAGCCCGCACGCGCCCCCCGCCGCCTGCTGCCGAGCCCCCCGCCGCGCGCACGGGCGAGAGGCAGCCTGGGCCGCAGGTCCCGTCTGGGGCCACAGGTAGGGGGCCACATGCGAACCCTACCCCTACCCCCCACGATTTCTGAGGGGGAGGGTGGGGTTCACTTCGTTCGGGAGCTCTCGAGCGAAGTGAACCCCACCCTCCCCCTCAGAAGTCGTGGGGGTTTGGGGTTGGCGTTCGCATGTGGCCCCCTACCAGGGAGGGCTGAGGCAGGGAGAGGGAGCACCACATGAGAACCGGATCGGACGAGGGGGGAGGCAATAGCAACGGGGCACCTTCGCGAATCAGCTCGCTGTGATCCCCAGGACATCCCGGCTCCGGAGGCGGCCACGTATCCAGGAAAGCGCCCTACGGCGGGGCCGAAACCAGCTGCACGCTTGGACGCCCGAGTTATTAGGGGTAACTCTGGCTTGAGCCCCCCCCCGACGCACGAACCAGGACTTACCCCTGACCACCCCCAGCCCCGATGCTTCGAGAGTAATTGTAGGCGCACGGTATCTGTGATAACTCCGGCCCGGGGCACTTCCAGCTTGCGCCCCCGAGGAACGAATCAGAAGCTACCCCTGACCACTTCCAGCCCTGACGGTTCGGGGCTCTGACATGCAGCAGATTTCGCGCCCCCTGAGGAGGAGGAGGAGGAGGAGCAGCAGAAGGAGGAGGAGGAGGATGGGAGGAGGAGGGGGAGGAGGAGGAGGAGGAGGAGGAGGAGGAGGAGGAGGAGGAGGAGGAGGAGTGAGTGAAGCAATCGCTAAGCGAGTCGTATGATAACTTTAATTACCACCTCTCTCCCCACTCAGAAGGACTCGAAGATGTGCTTCCTGACCTTCAAGTAGTGGAACACAAGGAAAACCACAAACTTGCCAAGGAGCGAACGGAGCACGAAACCACGGAACTTGTACTTCACCATATTGTCGAAAGACTCATGTTCCTCGCAACGCATTCCACGAACCCACCAATGGTATTGGATACACACTCTGAGCGAAGACTGCTTAACAAGCGCGAATTTGATTCTATTAGGCCCGCTACAGAGGTTGGCAGCCCAGGTTGCGAGCCAGGGATACACCACCACGTGGTCATGGGGCATCCTCGAAAGAACATCGCCTCCGCAACCCGCCTCGCACCCTTGCACATCAGAGACGCAATACAACCAATAAGGTGAGGCAGAAGAACTAGTACCCACGATATGCACCAACATTACCCCATACTTGAGATGCAAGTGACTGCGATAGCACCTGAGGCACCGCCCACAACTAACAGGGTCACATACACCCCCCGTGCGGTGACGTAGGAAAACGGCACTGTAAATGATGGCGCCAGCAGCGACAACCACGGGTAGCATACACCCCCCGTGCGGAGGTGGGGGAATGCGAAACTGTAACTGACGGGGCCTGTTGAAGCCCAGGCCGTCTGAGAGAAATTCGCACTGTTTAGCCACCAAGCGGATGGAGCCGACAGGTTTCACCCGACAAGGTGCCACTCAAGCACCGCGATGAGGCACAGTGCTGGAGGGGCCATGAGCGAGTTGGAGCCAAAAGACCCGACGCGCCCGGGGCCCCCCGCTGTGCTTGAGAGGAGGAGGAGGAGGAGGAGGAGGAGGAGGAGGAGGAGGAGGAGGGGGAGGAGGAGGAGGAGGGGAAGGAGGAGGGGGAGGAGGAGGAGGAGGAGGAGGAGCAGGAGGAGGAGGAGGAGGAGGAGAAGGAGGAGGAGGAGGATGGGGGAGGAGTGAAAGGAGGGGGGGTGAGGGCCTCCTCTGCCATTCTACCCCTCTCGTCCGACCCGAACGGAGGAAAGCGGTGGAGCGGAGCG